GCAGCCGCCCCCGCAGCCGCCGCCCCAGCTGGGCTCGGCCAGCTCCGTCCCCAGGACTTCCACTTCTTCTTTTTTAATTAAGGACATTTTGGGCGACAGCAAACCGCTGGCGGCGTGTGCACCTTACAGTACCAGCGTTCCCTCTCCCCATCACACTCCCAAACAGGAGGGCACGGCAGCCCCGGAAAGCTTCAGGCCAAAGCTCGAGCAGGAGGACAGCAAGGGCAAGCTGGACAAGCGTGACGACACGCAGGGCGACATCAAATGCCACGGTGAGTAGGGCCGAATGCGGCCCGGGCCGGGCCGCGGTGCGTCCAGCCGGCCACGATCTTTCACCGCAGCCCGGGCCTCCGCAGCGACCGTCACCGGGCACGGAAAGCAGCTAGAGAAACGCAGCTCTCTGCGATAGGTTTTCGATGGTCGCGGCCCTTCCTCTTTTTAAGATCGATACAAAATTAAAGCGAAATTTTATCGGTAGCGGCCTTTCTCTCTCTTTTCTTTTTTTTTCTTCTTCTTCTTCTTTTTTTTTTTTAACTTGCTCATTTTTAGTGAAATATTCTAGGCGGGTTGGATGTGCTTTTAAAAGCGAATGTATTTATTTTTAATACCAATGAACGCAAATGCCTCTTCGGCTTTCTAAGAACGGAAGAGGTTCGTTTGGCAGCACTTAATATCTCCAAGCTTTTTACCCCTTCGATCTAAAATAAAAGAAAACAAAAGATCTCCCCTAAATAGGAAAAAATAAATGAATGAACTTATAAAAAAGGGAATCAGCCCGAGAAAAGCGCTGGAAGGTTGGAGGGCTTTGTGCATTTTGCAAAACAGTCGGATTTCTCCTGCGCGAGGTTAGGGAAGGTTTCTCTCTCTCTCTCTCTTTTTTTTTTTTCTTTCTTTTAATTATGGATTTTGTGCTGCGGAGAAGCTCCAATAGCCAAAATTTCTAAATGTAAATTGCGATGGGCATGTAGCAAGAAAGAAAACGCAGTATTATCTGGAAATGTGTGCGAAAAAGCGAGATAGAAAGAGAAAAAGGAATTATTTTTTTCCCTCGGTGCTGGGAGACTCTCCCCTTCCCGCGGGCTGGCTTCGCAGGAAGCACAGTTTAAGCTGCGAGGTGACAGGACACATTTTTCTAATTTTGCCCCATTCACATATTTTTGCAAGGCTGAATAGCAGTGAGACGCTCATGTGTTCCGCTCATTTTGCTATTCTAGCATTAGCATAAGAGTGCCCAAAACAGATGTACAGTCTGGTCTGGCCATTTTTGTGTGCACCAACCTCCCCAGTGGGTCAATTAGAGAGATTATTGTTCTTCCTGCAGGGAAGATCAAGGAGCGCTACAAACCCGGCTACGAGTAGAGGCGGATTTGACATATCGATTTCCCAGCATTTCGAAAACCCCTATAACGGGCAAATAGAGCCTGGAAATCTCGGCGTCATTTGGCCGGGCTCGGTACCTCCCTCTAACTCCGGGGTTAATTCCCCATTTTCCCGGGGCCCCTGCGAACACCGGGACGGGGACTACAGGAGGAGCGGGTTCGGGTCGGAGTCGTCGGGCCGGGCCGTGCTCACGGCGCCTCTGGTGCCTCGCAGGGACAAAGGAGGAGGGTGACCGGGAGATCAGCAGCAGCCGGGACAGCCCGCCCGTGCGGGCCAAGAAGCCGCGCAAGGCGCGAACGGCCTTCTCGGACCACCAGCTCAACCAGCTGGAGCGCAGCTTCGAGCGCCAGAAGTACCTGAGCGTGCAGGACCGCATGGATCTGGCCGCCGCACTCAACCTCACCGACACGCAGGTGAAAACCTGGTACCAGAACCGCAGGTAAGGCCGCCCCGCGCAGCGCCCGCCGACGGCCTCGCGCCCGGGTGGGTTGTTGTCGCCGCTGCCGTAATTTTCTGTCTCATTACGTACGGCTGCAGCCACCCTAATTCTGTCGGAAAACATTAGTGTCATCGCACTGCAATCTAGCCGGGGAGCCATGTTTATTAATTTGGCCGGAGTTGCCGCGTGTGTTTGTGTGAGCGTGTAAATGTATATGCGGGTGTGTATGTACGTACGTGTGTATATGTGTGCGAGTGAGAGCTGGGCCTGCCGGGCACCTGCGGGCCAGACTGGGGCTGCGCGGGGCTCTGGGCAGCCGGGTCGGGCCGGGAATGTCGCAGGGACCGGGACCCGTGTGGGAGGGCCGGGCCGGTGACGGGCCGTGGTCCCGGGCTGCAGCCGCCTTTCGCTCTCCCTCCGGCAGGACGAAGTGGAAGCGGCAGACAGCGGTGGGACTGGAGCTGCTGGCCGAGGCCGGCAACTACTCGGCGCTGCAGAGGATGTTTCCCTCGCCCTATTTCTACCACCCCAGCCTGCTGGGCAGCATGGACAGCACGACGGCGGCCGCGGCGGCCGCGGCCATGTACAGCAGCATGTACCGGACTCCCCCCGCGCCGCGCCCCCAGCTCCAGCGGCCGCTCGTGCCGCGGGTGCTCATCCACGGGCTGGGGCCCGGCGGGCAGCCGGCCCTCAACCCCCTGGGCAACCCCATGCCGGGCACTCCGCACCCCCGGTGAGACGGCACCGCGGTCCCCGCGACGAGCCCTTCCCCTCCCCGTCCCCAAACGAGCCCCAGCACCGCCGAGAACGACCCGAGGGGAAGCCAAGGGGCAGGAGCTTCTGCCGGCAGCCCGCAGCCACCGGAGGAGGCCATCAGTCAGAGCAGGGACTCTTGAGCCGCGAATCCCGAGACGAGCCCGTAAGTGACACCACCACACGCGGGGGAGCAGGGGCAGAGCCGCGGGGCGACCCCGGCGGCCTCGACCCCTGCGCGACACGACCTGGGGCTCGCAGAGAGAGAGAGGGGGAAAGAGAGAGAGAGAGAGAGGGAGCGGGAGCCGCCCCGAGAGACTAAAGACTTGAGAGGACGGAGGCGCTGAGAGAGCCTCGCACACCTCGCCCGTCGGAGAAGACCGGGGCAACGGAGAACTTTGCACTGATTTTTCTCATGGCATTTTTTTTTTCTTATTGAAAAGTGGCATGCTCCCTAATGCGAACAGAATTGTACAGACCGAGTGCTGAGTGCTATATCATATTTATTATATGTTGTCCAAAAAAAATTCACTTCTATACGTTAGTTTAAAACGAAGGAACGTGATTTCTCCCCTCTCCCTTTTCATGTCTTTTTGGATTCAGTAAAATAAATGCTTAGATGAAAAAATATAGATTTTTTTTTGTGACTGAAAATTTACAGGGAAAAAAAGGAGGAAAAAAAAGAAATAAACTTTATCTTTTTTTAACAAACGTGGAAATCCAAGGTAGCTAATTTTACCGGTGACGAGTAAATGCAAGAAATGCGAAATAGAAAAGGCAAACGCCACTTTTTTGGTTTCGTTCTGTAGGATCCTTTTTCATAACATGTGAGGTTTTTTTTTTTCTTCATTTATATTTTAAAGGGAAACAAAAAACCCCAATCCCTCCCGCTCCCCCGCACCAGGTGCT